ATCGATCAACAATGGCCTTACATTAGTAGGATATATACTAGAAAATAAATCATTAGGTACCTATGTACAAAAATGGTTAGTGGTGGTTATCACTGTTGGTAATGGGTTGGCTTTATTCCCTGTCCAGTATTTTTTTTTTTTAAATCCTTCCTCCCTATTGTTTTCTTCCTGGTCATTGTATTGCTTATTTGACACATCAATTAAATTCCAGATGATATTAAGTCCAATCATATGCCCAAATTAACCAGTGGAGAAGGAATATTGGAACTAATCCGCATCAACAAGTTGCGTACGTGTGGGTCTAACTATAAGTGTGGATGTGAGTAGATGATCCATTACCAATAAAGTAATTGACGGGTAGAGCAGTTTTAAAAATCAGTTACCAACGTTGATGGGCCTTTGAACCCAAGGGCCACCACACCACAAGGCAAGCCTATGGCAACGCACGTCCCACAAACTTGGGCCCTACCATGCAACGATCGGGGCCCACCAAGAAAAGACATCCCACTTAGCTTTTCTATTGCGAGTCAAAAGTATATCTAATTTTGAGTTTTGACCCAGTCGAGAGGATGAAGAGAGAAAGATAAAGAATTAGAGGTTAAGTTGTGATTATAGGGTGAATTGCACCTCCTTTCTTATCTTGAGAAGAATGGTTTAATTTATGAATAATATTCAGGTTCCTATATAAAAAAAAAAAAATATATATATATATATATATATAGAGTGAATTGCACCTAGCAGTATACTAGCTATAACTGTGACAGATTTCAAAATTGTGGCTATGAAAGTGTATTTCGCCTAAAAATATTTTTAAAATAAATTATAATGCGCATCTACTGACAAGTCAGCCTGAGTTGTCTCTGACGTGTACATCATTTTGGTATCCTAGTCAACATGTTGTTAACCTAACTGACAGAATATCTAACGTTTTAAAAGTTTGTAACGGAAATGGGTTGATTTGTTAAACAACCATCAAAATTCTGATTATTTCGTGTATTTTGGAAAGTTATGACTATAATTGTCACAAACATGACAGTTGTGGTTATGAAAGTGTATTTTGCCTATGAAAAACGATAAGGATATAACTTGCTAGGTGAAACTTTCTGCACGGTGCAAACTATGTATTTAATGGAAAGAATACACTTCAAAGAGTGTTTGCTTGTCAGATTTTAAAATGACAGTTTTGAATTTTGAAAATTTTGGATTTAGGATGGATTTGTTGCATTATGGATTTGAAAGAATTTGTTATATGTTTAGTTGATCGTTTTATTATGAATGTCTCAAATTTTTGCTTTCTATAACCAAATCTCAAATTGAAATGTGATATTTACAAATTCGTGAGGTCCACAGATTTGTATCTAAAAAAAAAGTCAAAATTTATAAGTCCCATGAATCTGTATACCTCAACAAACAATAGATTTGTATCAAGTCCATAATACTTGAGATTTAAATACCATATATATCTATCACTCAAATCCCACAATCAACACATATCTTAGATTTCAAAAATTGAAAAAGAGATGGTAAGGAAATAATTGTTGAGATCGACTTTTCTAAAACTACATGCAGAAAACTTTGATTCCCCTCCCTCTATAAATACTGGATCATATTGTTACCCCAAGTACCCAAAAAAAAAACAACTCTCTTCTCCTCTCCTTTAATCTCTTCCTCTTATTATTTTGTCTTCTACCGTGACAATATCGCATTGTTGAACAATGTTTCGAATTTTGGTTGCACTTTTACTGTTAGGAATCAGTGTAACAGGCCAAAAAATTAATCCCAGGGATCCCGATCCAATACATCATGGTTCACCAGCACCTGCAAATCCTCCACATGTGTCCAATTGGGAGCTCATAATGAGTAAGTTGTTTAATATTATAGAATATTAAAATATCATTAAGCTTATTGTTGTTGTTTTTATGGTTACAAAGCTTTATTGAAAAATATTAAAATATTGAATTGGGAATAGGATTATGCATGCATTCATAATTCTTTTTGTGTTTTAATCAAGTAATTAAACATTTCTCATAAATAAATTATATAGTATAAAATTAAACAAATATCTTTATCCCCATAATAGCATATAAATGACAGATTTACATAAATGCAGGAGGTTTAGATATTGCCTTTGAACCTTTCATGTTCGTTAATAGACTGGTTCCCTCTGGTCCGAATCCACTGCATAATAAAAAACATCCGAAATCATCACCTGCACCAGCACCACCAGCTTCAAAGCCTTCGCACATGTCAAATTGGGAGCATATGACAAGTAAGTTGTTTAATCTTTTATATGATATATATATATATATATAAATATGAAGTCATTCTAATGTAATCTTCAATTAAGCTTCTTTTGTTTTTATATGGGTACTAAGCTTATTTGATAAAAAAAATATCAGAATATTAATTTGGAAATAGGATTATGTAGTTATCATGTTTGTGATTTAGCCAAAGTTGAGTGGGAGAAAACAGTTAGACTGGTGTATTACTGGAGACTGGAGTATATATACTATATTCCAAGTATTTCGAATGAAATATCTCCATTTAAACCATGAATTAAAACTAATTTGGATTATACACCAATTAGTCGCCTTATATAGTATCTAAACTTATACACAAACTCACAATGTTGCGTGCGTAAATTGCAGATGAGTTGATTGGGAGGAGGAAGATTGTTGACGCGGCAAATCCCTATGCCAAAAAAGAGTAGACGGATCAATGGTGACCGTCAATGCACAACTAAAGTGGAAGAGTGACAAGATTTCATATTCTAATTTACAGTCGAACAATAATGTTTTATGTGAATCAAAATACAAGGAACGATATAATAAACGTTATGTTTTGAACTTTTTATGTCTGATGAGGTACTGTTTGGTTTCTCGAATAATCATCGTATGAAAGTGGTTAGAATCACTGCAGTTCCAATTTGAACGTTGATTCATGGTTTGTCACATCATCATTAACATTAATTTGTAGATCATAAACGTGTCACGCATGTAGTGCCACAACTTTCGTACTTCAAATTCTTGTCCAGAGCCAGACACATAAACAAAAACAAACCCTAAGTAGTAATTACCTAATGGCAAGAGTTCCTACGGTTTGTAGTTTGTACCCTAACTAATCCAATCTAATATTTTAGAGTGCAGTGAGTAAAAGGGTTTTAAGTAGGTAAGGAATAGTAGTTTAGCGCATTTGTGTTACGTTTATCAGTGTACCTTTTCTTTTTTATAGTGAAGAGACTTACAGTAATATCGAATGTCAATCCAGTAAGATGATTTCAACCTAAATTACTCATTCTTGATTGCTTAATTAACATTCAGTAATTGAAAGATTGGCTGGAAATTGGAGCGGGAAAGGAAGCTCGGAGCTGCATCTTTGCAAGCACAGTGTGGTTTATAATGCTGCAAATTCTTACTGTGGAAAATTTAAAGCTGGTCTCACCATCACCCTCAATGTCATTGTATAGTTACGTGCATTCAAAGTTGTCGTCTTTGTATGTTCCAAAATACATATGGGTCGAGATCTATATCAGCTTCTTTGAATCCAGAGGATGTATTTTTACACATGGGAAAGCCACCAAAAAAACGAGTCAATCTAAATACCTCCCCCCAACGTTAGATAATTCTAATTGTCTCATAATGTATTAATTCACATTTTCCCTCCTTCGATTGCTTCATCATATTTTCTTTTGTTTTGCCAAGTGGAACAAGTTGACCTAATTATCTCATATTGAGGTAATTGGAGCGGATTGACTGATCACATAAATTCATCCAAATGACTTCTTAGAGCATTTTCATCGGCTTTTTAAACAGTGGTGGACTCAGGATTCTCATATAGGTGTGTCAGTCGATAAAACTAAATAAAATAATAAATAAATTTTAATTATATTTTACTGTGAAACACAACAAGAAGTGGGATCGAAAGAGGTAAAGGGAACACTAGGGATTTTTTATAAGATAGTAGTCCATATGCAACCGGACTCTCGATGAAATAGCATTTTTTGTCACTAGCTGGACAACTATGTGAAAGCTACAAGGATCAATAAGAAACAAAACTTATTCAGGTAGAGAGAAAAAGGAGAAAACTTCCTTACGATTACCCCTGCCTAAAACCTAAGAGTAATAATAAACCATTGCGTCTAAATGCTTAAGCAGTGGAAAGAACCTCAAATTTGTCATAAGTTAACTAAAATTTAAAATGAATAATATATATTTATGTATTTTGGGAACTTTATGACACCAATTTCATCGTAGTGTATTAAAGGTGTGTCGATTATAATTATTGAAGGTGTGTCGAAAGTCCTAAATTCAAAAAAATTATACCGAAAAAACATGGGTCTCTCACAAAATATTCGAGCGAAGATGTGTCACTTGACACACTTCCCTAACTTCTACCCTGTTTCTAAACAATGCAAATGCTAAACTCTATGTTGCAAAGCAATTTGCAATTGCAAGAGATGGAGGGGTTTTTTTGTTGTTGGTAAGGTTAGGACTCAGTGTGTGAGGTGGATATTCTCATTCACAGATTACTATTAGGCTAACTCCTTGAGGTTAATGGAGGGGTAATTGCTTATTTAGAAACATTGCTAAATTAACAAGTTCTTTGTGTAAATGATTTTTTTTTATTGTTAGTTACTGTTCAATGAAAAGTATTTTGATAGATTTAAAATTTAGTTGGGACCCACAATAGCAATTACAAACAAAATTTAGGGATGTAGTTCGCTTGACATTTTTAAGAAACAATTGCTAAAATTGTTAATGTGGTTGTAGAGACCATATTTAGAAATTGGTAGGGATGAAGATGGTCTTATAGATTTCAAAATTGAAAATAAATAGTAAGGAAATAATTGTTGAGATAAACTTTGTAAACTACATGCAAAAAAAAACTTTGATTGTGATCTTTATATATATGGTGATATAGTAATATACCAACATGTATTTGGAGGGTGTAACGCTATAAATACTGGACCATAACCTCTTATTGTTCCCAAACAGCTACACCGAAAAATAATTCTCTTCTCCTCTCTTTCAATCTCTTCTTCTTGTTTAGCAATGTTGCAAATTTTGGTTGCACTTGTGCTGTTGGGAAACAGTGCAACAGCCCAAAAAATTAACCCTGCCAACTGGGCCAACCGTGGCTCATCTCAAATTGCAGCTTCAACTCCTCCACATATTTCAAATTCGGATGCCGCTCCGAGCTATATAAGTAATGAATTTACTTTAATTCAATCTTATTAAGCTTTTTTTTCGTGTGTTTTTATGGTTACGTAATTTTTAATGAAATTATTAATATTATCATTTTTGTTGTTTTAGTCAAGTAATAAAACATTTCTCATAAAGAAATAAATAAATTATATAGCATAGAATTCAAGGTTCAGGCTGGCATACGCTTTTACCTTACCATATGTTCTTCGAGTTTTGTTATTTAGACCATGAATTAATCGGAGTTTGGGACATGATACTATACCATAACCTCTAATGGGAACCCTAGTCCCCAATTCTCTAACCCAAACCAGAAATTCATTTATAAAATAAAATAAACGGTTCTTATTCGTCAAAATTATCAAAATACAAATAATAGGTATGAACGCATGCATATTGCGTACACTAATCTTTGTCATCATTAAAAAAATGTCATGACAAATAAACGATTACTTTATATATTTACAGGAGGTCGAAAGATTACTTATGAGCCTTCTATCTCCATCGATAGATGTGTTCCCTCTGGTCCGAATCCAATACATCATCGTTGTGCACCAGCACCTCCAACGCCTCCGCATATGCCAAATTCGGAGCATATAAAAAGTAAGTTATTTAATATTTTATAAGATATAAAATACATCAGGGTTCATTTGCACGGCTGCACCGACACCTGCAAAGCCTTCTCATAAGCCAAATTGGGATCCAATAACAAGTAATTTGTTTGATATTTTATAAGCTATATAAGTAATAAAATTACTTTAATTCAATCTTATTAAGATTTTTTTGTTTTTGAATGGTTACTATGTTCTTATAAAATTATTAAAAAAATTGAGTTAGGAATAGGACTATGTATTCATAATTTTTGTTTTGTTTTAGTGAAGTAATAAAAAATTTCTCATAAATGATTTAGCATATAATTCAAAAAATTATGGCATAACAAATAAACGATTACTTTACATATTTACAGGTGACCGAAAGATTACCTTTGAGCCTTCTATCTCTGTTGATAGATGCGTTCCCTCTGGTCCGAATCCAATACATCATCCTTGTGCACCTAAACCAGCACCTTCAACGCCTCCGCATATGCCAAATTCGGAGCGTATAACAAGTAAGTTATTTAATATTTATCAGATATATAAAAATTGAATTCTTTCTAATATAATCTCATTAAGATTTTTTTTTCTATGGTTACTAAGTTTCTGTAATAAAGTTATTGAAATGTTAAATTGGAAATAGGAGTATGCATTCATCATTTTTGTGCTTTAGCCAAGTTGAGTTGGATAAAACGTATATATTTAGTATCTAAACTTTTTCACAACCTCACAGTGTTGGCTGCGTAAATTGCAGGACGGTTGATTGGGAGGAAGATTGTTGATCCGGCAAAACCCTATACCAAAAAGGAGTAGACAGATAGATCAAGGGTGACCGTGAGTGCACAACTCTAGTGGAAGAGTGTCAAGACTTCAAACTATAATTTATAGTGGATAAAAAATGTTCTATGTGAACCAAAATAACAAATATTATGTTTTGAACTGTTTCGTTTTTCATGTAGTAATCGTAATGAAGTGGTTATATTTCGTACATGAATCCCTCCAAACATTCCAACTTATTGTGATTAGTTTGTTTATGACATGATATGATCAGAGTTGATTTTATCTTGAGGTCACATGTTCAATTTCTCACAACCCTATTATTAACATTCAATTTAAAGCACACGCGGTATCACGTATGTACATAACTTTGCAGAGGTTTTCAATTGACGTGGGAAGACATGAAGTTTAATAAGTTGTGTGTGGGGTGGCCGAAGGAAGGTGGAGTCGATGGTCCGTGCGTGGTGGTTCAGTACAGGATCAATCGTTTTTAGTTCATTGCCAGGGGCAGTGGCCCGGCGCGGAGGGAACCTTTAAGGAGATGGGTCCTAGGATCTCACTTAGCAAAAAATTGGGTACTAAAATCATTTAAATATATGCATTTTAGCATGATTCTTGAAATGTAGGACCCATATTTTTACCGATAATACCTCATGTTAAGACCCTAATTTAACTTAAAATTATTAAGAACCTCAATCCATTCAAAGTCTGGCTATGCCACTTGTTGCCATGAGTAATTAAATTAATTCACCTTTTGCTTTCTCCCCTAATCCAATACTACTCTTTCTAGATCGCCGATCAATTAACACTCACACCAATACTTCTTTTCTGTATCAATGATTGTTTATTATTATGACAGGATTCACCAAGTGGAAAGAGTTGCTTGAAATTGGGCCGGGAAATGGGAAGCTCGAAGCTGCATATTCTTGCAAGAACAGTGCGGTTAATTAACTGCTGCCAATTCTTACTGTGCAGAAATTAAAGTTGGCCTCTCGGCCAATCACCCTTAATTAATGTCATTATTATAGTTTTACGTGCATTCAAAAGTTGTCGTCTTTGTATGCTCCAAATTATATAATGGGGTCGAGCTCTCGACAGCTTGTTTGAACCCAGAGGATGTACTGTGTACGCACGTTTACGTTTAATGCAAACTACTGCTGCAAAGGAGTTGGGTTGGCTTTGTGCTGTCTTCATCATCATCGTCCCATATTGTATGGTCTCTTAACCAGCTTTCTGCCTACGTACAGTCTTACTCAATCGTATTAGTTGAATGATGCAGACGTATAGCCTACGCAGCGTTTTCCCTCAGAAGAAGCGAACTAATACATGCTGCAGTACTCGAGAATTCTTCACAAACTCTTAAACTCAAGCTGACAAGTTGACTGTAATCACAGAAATATAATACAATATTTAACTTCGAAATACTAAACAGATTGCCGTCTTAGCTCAGCCGGTAGAGCGCGTGGCTTTTAACCACGTGGTCGTGGGTTCGATTCCCACAGACGGCGTAACTCCTTCTATTTTTACAGTAACGCAATGGGGCATTTCATTTTCAACATTCCTGTAACTTCTGTTCTCCTATTTTTCTCTCGAAGTAATCTGACGGCTTGACCACTGAACAGTGAAAACAGACAAGAAGAGTGAGAGGAGGGTTCCATTAAATTCTTTTGCTGGCAACCCCAAATTTATTTATTTCGTTTCAGAGAAAGTTCTGCACATTTGGTACAGTTCATGGGCTTCACGTCGTGTCACCTTCTCTCACCAATCTGCTTCACGAACCCAGAAAAATGAAAAGGGAAATTAAATGGAGAAACCTTGAGAAAAAGGAATCATGGGAAAGCCATGCACTTCACTAAATATATTTACCCGCCACCAACCGGCCATCCACCGCCACGCCACGGAAACTGCCCTTTCCTTCCCCTTCACTTTCTCCCCCCGCGCTCTTTCATCCATTCTGTTTCTTTCTTCTTCATTTGTCAACTCTTCTGTTCCACCATCACCTACCTTTAATGGCATCCACGATCATCCTCCAAACCAAACCTTCCCCTCTCTACTACTACTATATCATTACAAAGCCTAACCCCACTTGTCTTCTCTATTCGTTCAATCCCATTTAGAAAATGAAGTTCGAAGATTACTTGGTGGAGCAAGCTGACGATCAGAAGCAGAAGCAGCAGCAACAACAGCAGCAGGAGAAGAGGATCAGCCTGGAGCAAGAGGTCTGTAAAACTCCCATGCTTGCTTGCTTGCTTCTTCTTCTTCTTAGTTTCTTCGGGTTGTTTGTGAAAGTACAACCCCCCATGGGGTTTTCATTTTTCCAGGTTGAGAAGCTGCAGGCGGAATTGGAAACACAGCAGGCAATAGGGAAGGTGCTGCACTCTGCACTTCATGGCCCTGTTGCGTCAGCAGCGAATTCATCACTTGCCTCGTTGCTTCCTCCTCACGTAAGCTTTTCGGTTCCGAGACTATTCAGTGGGGGGTGGTTGATGATTGATCACTGAGGAGTTTCTGACATTGGTTACGATGTGGGGGCAGGTGCAGGAGCTTCTCTCGGAAATGGCAATGGTGGAGGAGGAAATCGTCTGGCTGGAGAGGAAAGTAGGTGAGTTGAAACTTGGCTTGTACAACGACCGGAAGCTCGCCAAAGAAAGGAAGTCACAGCTGAAGCAGCAACAGAGACGGCAGAAGACAAAGCATCAGAAGAATTACTTGCCACTTCCCCCGCCAGCGCCACCGTGCGCACCTGTAGGGGATCGCTCTGTGATTAATGGTGATCTCTACCAGGTGTCGAAATCACAGCGCCATGCGGGTGGTTTCCGAAGGGAGAGGTTCAAGTTCAGAAGAGCTTCTGCTGGTTCTGCAGAAGAACTGTTCTGCATTCTTCCCACTGCTGCTGCTGCTTCCCCAAGTACGCCCCTAGTCAAAATCCCGAGTCAAATTCCTAAAAGATAGTATAGATTACGCGTTATAAGATTACTCAACTAAACTCTGTTTGATTCTATGTAAAAGCTTTCATGAATTTACTAGCACAGTCAAAGAACTTGGCATTATTGAGGACTAGATCATGATATCATTGCTAGAAACTTTTGAATCCGAAAATGTTTATAGGGTGTTCTTAGTAAAATTGTAATCTTTTACATGAGTGATCCGTAAAATCTCATGGTTTTCACAATTCCAGTTTACTGTTCCAAATTTATAGTTGCTCGTGGATTGGTTTTAGAATCTGAGCGTGACTACCTTTGCAGAAGCCGAAAAGCCAAAGAAGCAACACAGGCGAAGATCAATCATGCAGAAGGAACCTAAAATGCAGAGAGAAGTAGTATGTTACGAGAAGCCAAATGAGCTATCGGAAGAACTCACCAGAAGCCTCATTGGCATATTTCTTGATCTCAACCAGACGTCAGCTGTTGAAGAAACAGGAGATTCAGCTATCGTCCCAAAGCATAGTATCATCTCCCACCGCACAAACTCGAAAGGGCCAAAAGCAGCTATCTCGTCATCATTCAACTGTAAACAACCTTCACCGTGTGTTTCTTCCCCTTTCAATGGGTCGCCATCTTCGAACATTGATCCTTATGGAATTATGCCGGACGAAGACAGTGGTGGTATCAGAGACATTGGACCCTACAAGAACTTCATCCAGATTGGAAACAGCTCTTTGGATATCAGCAGCCGATTCAAGCAAACTTCACCAGCTGCTGAAAAGCTAAGGTTGTGACTTTGGATATGCTTATTAGGCTGCTGCTGATGTTCTGAAAGTAAAATACTAAGTCTTACAAATCAACTCTCATCCATTTTCTTCTCAGGGATCTGGTGCAGAAATTGGGGAATGTTGATTTGACGTTCTTGACATACAAGCAGAAGTTGGCGTTCTGGATCAATATCTACAATTCCTGTATAATGCATGTACAGTAAGAACGCCTTTTTCAGTATTCAAAGTCAAGCAAAACAGAAGTCCCGGAGGTGTTTATATTTCATAAACGCAAGTGCAATTAATTCTAACTTTGGTTTTCATTAAAATCTCAGGCATTTCTAGAACATGGACTGCCTTCCTCACAGGAGAAACTGTTGGCAATCATGAACAAGGTATGCTACATTCATTTCATGTCTCCCTAAAACACACTATCCATGTGCCCTAAAAAACTCTAGCAGAGTGGTGATCATGGTTCAGACGATGAACTTCAAACAAGAATAGTGAGTGATGTTTCCATTCTTTAATTCACAAGCACAGGCTGCAATCAACGTGGGAGGAATGGTGTTCAATGCTCTGGCTATAGAGCATTTCATTCTCAGGCATCCATGTGAAGCAAGCTATGTAAGTAGATAAACTGAGGAATTAAGCATAGACTCGTACAATACTTCCACAAGAGAGATTCAAGTTCAAAAACAATATATATAGCCTGACAAAGGATGTCGATTACACTTACAAAGGGCCCTGTGGACGACAAGGAAATGCTTCTCCGCCATACTTATGGTGTTGGATATCCAGAACCGAACGTGACATTTGCCCTCTGTCGTGGCAACTGGTCGTCTCCTGCAGTACGTCACCAAACTCTTCCCGGAAAATTCGTATTGAAGCTGAAAAATAGGTCCAGTACTTAATTCAATTTTTTAATTTGCAGTTGAGAGTATACACAGCAGACCAAGTGGTGAACGAGCTGGGAAGGGCCAAAGCAGAGTACTTAGAAGCTTCAGTTGGGGTGGTGAGGAGCAAGAGAAAGATTGTCGTGCCGAAGCTACTGCAATGGCACATGCGAGACTTTGCCGACGATATGGACTCACTACTGGAATGGATTTACAGCCAGCTATCACGCTCTGGTTCGCTCAAGAGGCTGATGATGGAATGTCTGAATGGAGGAACCAAATCTCCAGCCACAAAGATGGTGGAGATTCAGCCTTATGAATACGGTTTCCGCTACCTGCTGCCTTTCTAAGAATGAATCCAAACGAGAGTAGAGATGATAGATATTGACACAACAATCAAGACCCTGACTGCTATTATAGAGACTGTCAATACTTAGGTGGTAATTTCTTGCTGTGCACTCAAGATCAGCAGAAGTGAACAGCTGATGATGTAACTAAAGTTCTATAACTTCATTCTAGTTAATACAGAGATAAATAAAGGGTGTGTTCGTTTTGACTAAAGAAATACGTTAATTGAGTCAACATCATTGCATTTTCCACCTATGCTCATTTCAGATGAGAAATTATTCTCAAGTTATATACTTGATAATCATTTTCTGGAATACACTAGTATTTGTATTCAACAAACGATTTGTCAACAAATTTACTGTTCTTTTATTGCTAAAAAATATTTTCATATTTCATTAACTCAATTTTTTTTCCGAAACTCAAGCAAACACTATTTTGAAACCCAACCAAACACTTCACTTGATAAAACATAAACACCAACTTGGGCAGATTCATTGATCCACTAGCAGAAGCACTCAAACGCCAATAATGTATACAATAGGAACATGAACTGCAACAGAAGGAATAAACCGAGAAGAGCAGAGTGTGATGCAGCAAACTAGGCAAGGGTATTGGTCACATTCTCCTTGCTTCAAACCGCAATCAAGAGAAACAGATATGAGAAACCAAAGAGTGCTACTTCAACTAAGGGAATTAACAATCCTATTTAACAGGTTTAACCCAAACACGGTTTCTTCACAATTGACTTTCACCACCACATTCAATGGCTCGGAGCATATACCTTCAGCTGTGATGGTAATTAAGCAAGGGGCTGAGTTGCTAAGGATTTCACTGCTGAACCGCAAACACAAGCCAGATGCATCATCGTGCTTGGCAGCGATTGGCATGTCGACGGATACAAGGAAGATATTGGCATTGCTGAGCATTGTTAATGCTATGCTCTCACAGACTACCAGAAACTTGTCTTTTGCGAATGTGTGATTTCCCTTTTCCTTGTTTAGATAGTCTACATGGCCTTTGAAGATACAACTGGAAACCCGGAAATTGGAAAATGAAATGAAGATGAACTCAGTAAGTACGTGTTTTTAATGCACTGAAGAAATAGGGGGACAGGAAAGCAATTGAATTACAGAATGGGTGTGTTTGTTTTCATCTAAAGATAAGTACTTTTGGAAGGGAAAAAAATTGGCTCAAAAGCTAGAACTATCATGCATCATGAACCCCGACAATTATTGAAAGCTAAAGCCACCTCACTAAAATATTTCATTTCCACCTTACGTTTGGAAAAACAATAATCTAAGTTACACTCATAAAAAAAATCATCTATCAGTAGCTTCTATTACTAAAAGATCGTTCATATCCATCAACTCAACTTTTTCTTAGCACTTTCACAAACACACATTCTCTCCACTTTTTCTAAAACTTCAGAAAAAGTCACTATCAAAAGCTAATACACAGTGAGTGATGATAATTATAACATCAGAGTGATAATAATAACTAAGATTAAAAGTTGGAGCCAAGTATAATTAACTGACCTCCTTGTGCACTCGAACATTCCTGGAAGATGAGATTCCTTGTCTTTGAATGCATCAACATCCATTGGAAGTGGTTTTACAAAATACCCAATGTCAGGTCGCAATTTAACTGGATGACTCTTGCCATTGAAATATATGACCAACTTCAAGGGCAACAAATGGTGGTGGAAGCGGACATGAATTGTCTCCCTAGTTGCCTGACCAGGTTCCAGAGAAGTAATCTCTTCCATAGGAATCAATGCCGGTACATCGTCCTGAGAAGAGCTGTAATAACCGAGTCAAACGCATGTGGGCTAAGTTAGTGCCACAAGAAAATTGAAGAAAAACATTGATGGTGATAAAACAAATATAGATATTTCTTCTTTTTTAGTGATGATAGGGGCATATGGAAACATCAACGGTACCAGAAAAATTACAACATCACAGCTAATCAATGACTAGATAAGAAAACCAGTCACAAGTAACATAAACTAGCCAAAGCCGGATAGGAACAAAAGTTACCTCTCAGAAGAATCTGAAGGCTTGGTCGTGAAGTCCTCATGCTTCAACACTATGTTTGAGATAGTCTCACTGGAACAGTTCTCGAAAGAAGCTTGTATGGTTATAACATGAGGTGAAATTGTTGATACTTCAGATGAAAACGTATAATCCACCTTCATGCCATTTCCATTCGCAGGGTCTAAGAGTTCATATGTCTTAGGTATCACTCGCTTCCCAATGTCCTTAATTGAAATTCTTGCTGACCTAGGGACCTTACTCTGTTCGGGTATACTTGAATTTGGTAAACTGGGCTGATCATCCAACCAAGTTTCTAAATCTCTTCTTGACATAAGTTCCTCAAGATCAGCAGAACCAGCTGGCCGGAGATGGTTCTCATCAGATATTTGAATCAGTGGATCTTGGATGTTTTCATCTTCACTTGAGGAACCAGTCTTACCATTATCAGTATTGCCACCAGAAGCAACTGAGTTGTCAGAGCCATTGTAAGAACCACTTTCCTCATCCAAAGATCCAGTAAATGAATCAGAACCATCTTGTTCCGACACCTCTGCCTCAGCATCTGCATCATCAAGAATAGTACAAGGCTTGGGCAGTGGTTCATACCCTGGGGCAGCATGAAGTACTATCTGTGACAGGGATCCCGGGAGATAGACTCGATAATTGACTGGTACTGGGGACTGTTGAGTTGCTTGTTCATGAAACATGTGTTCGGCAAGTACATTGAGAAGGCCTTCATTTTGAGAGGAAGCGACCACCTCATCTTCCAATTTCTTTGAGCCCAAATGACTTGAAAGAAGTTTCCTGAAGAAACAGCCTCTTCCACGGACAACATAGTTCATATCACACTCAGCCAGTTCTAGCACATAACAACCTATTTTTGTTAATGTCTCTAGATCTCCACCTTTTGAATTTGACAGTATCTACAGGGCATTAAATAAAGAATCAACTGCAGAGTTCTTGCAAAGCATCGAGCACAGAATGGGCAAAAGAGATTCATGCACGGAAGGTTATAAGAAAGGTCTGATGCATTCGGCACCTTAGGCCTTGGAGCTCATCAGAGAATTCCTATTAAGCCTCAATTCCACAATCTAGTGAAACTGATTGATAAACAATTTAAGAGTTGCTGAAAGAGGTAAAAAATACCTTAGCAACTGTGTTTAGAGTCTGCAACTTTGTTTCTGAGCTTTCTGAAGTAAAGCTCCAAGCAATATACTTAAGAACAGTAATTAACATTTTCGGAATTATCTCCCCAACCTTGCTATACTCTCCCAACATCCAAATAATTATTGCACGGGCTGCAGGTACCTTGATGGAATCTAGGTTACGAACTAACTGAACAATAACCTGCAATACCAGATAAACTTATTAAATAACAAGAAGAAGCTTCAACACAGCAGAGACGATCATCTTCAAGCTTTGTTGTGTTAATTCGTGGCACAGGATTTGCTCGTAATTCATGTTTTCAAGCCTCGTGCTTTAATTGGTTGACCTTGTCATTTGACAGCTATTTTCCAACTAAATTGAAATAACTAGTTATTCAATATATGCTAACAACAGCTAGCTCATGGTTCTCTGAGAGCTGGTAGTAGGGATACAGTGAAATAGATGATAACTTCAACATCTAATTTCACCATCATCAAACACATGTCTACCTTGTTTCAGCACCATCCGCCGCCAGCCTCAGTTACCAAGATCAGGACATGCAAATGAGGATGTTGGAAATGTAAATGACTTAAGAAGAACAAAGTCATAGCATTACCTTTTCATGACTAGGAGGATCCTGCTTTACAATCATTTTAATTGACATTATAGCTTGAACTAAAACACCTGCTTCTTCTTCAGAAGCCCTGGCGTCACTAGTGAAAGAATCTGAAAAATGAGCAGATAATTCAGCAGAAGAGAAGAAAAGTTAAAGTTTCCTTGTTGGACTTAGCTAAAACCAACTACAGACCCTGCCTAGTCAATGCCAACAGCCCTTCCAAGCACGTGCTAGCCATTTTAGGAAGTTGCAATGCACATAAACCAATTGCAGCTACTGTATCAGCTGCAAATCTCCTGTCCGGGTCCCTAATGTAGTCCTGTGAGAAATTAAGACGCAAGCAACGAAAATGTATTATTAGCCACTTCGAAGAAGATCCTATTATTTGAGGTATATGAATGACAAAGCAGTATTAGCAATTTCTTCCCCCCCCCCCCCCCTCCCCTTTTCATGAATGAAAGCAATTACTACTAGGCAAAGAAAGATAAAGGACTTACCTGAAATTCCTTGAGGATAGATGCAATGGATGAATCTGTAGAAATAGTACAAAGAATCTCAAGCTTCAAGGCTTTTGTCTGATATGAGTCTGTGGATAGTATGAAAAAGTTCTCAAAGTGTGAAGCAAATAGATAAGGCATTGCTTTAGCAAACACTTGAATGTTGCAAAGGACCTGTAAGGAAACAATATAAGTGTATCAGCTGGACTTGAACTAACTCTTTCGAACTTGATTAGAAAGTTTATATAAAACGAAAACAAAGCGCCAATTGGAGGGGATCGCCTAAGAACTATATGAAACATCATGAAGATTTTGCATCTTGCAACCTCCCAAACGTCATCCAACAAAACAACAGGACATAGGTATGGTAGGAGCAGGCATATGAATGCCTAGCTAAGAGTAATACCAGAAATTTTTCATGTAGATAAAATTACTTGGGCATGCATTACCACATTACTGAAAATTGAACTATTCTACATTGTAACCATACACGTATCTCCCCCTAAAATGGATATACAAGACGATTTCCTTCCAAGTGGAATAATGTAACCCAACCACATTTGTAACTAAATACCCCATTTTAATCATTTCAAATCCTTTGCACTAGCTTGAAAAGGAAGAAATAACAGTTCCTGTTTTATTCTAATTCAAGAGTAAAAGAGCACCTCATAAAGAGAATGCAGGAATCTGCTATAAGAAAGCCTACACCTTGCTCTTCAACAGAAATCAAAACAGCATCTACATATTAAAGATAAATGAAACACTTTTAGTACCATCTATGTATACGAAAACATATAGATGCAGGGATTGCACAGTACCACGTAATTTGAATTTCTTGATGATCTCAACAAAAATAGCAGTGGTTTAACAATTCTTTCGATGTTCTCTTTTGGTGCCATAATCCAATGTACACCAGCTGCTGCCAGTACTACTGCACTATTGTTACTCCAAAACAATGGTGATGTACATTGAAGTAGGATCTTCACATCCTCGTTATTCTTGCTAGATGTAAACTTTGCACCACTAAATGTCAAGAACACCTTGTTGGAGTAACTTGAACGTGATAAATAATCATCAGGCCCTTCGATGTAACACCTATATATCATGCTAGCCAGCTCAGAGTCATATTTCTTACTGGGGTCAATGCCCTCTTTTCCGAACTTGGAGTCAGCATCTGAATCATCATTTTCAGATGAAGAATGTTCTTTGCTGTGCAGATGGAACATCATCGACTGCTTCACCAGCCCGTGCCTCGCTATGACATAGCGCAGAAGAATTCCAATTAAGACTATTTGACCCCACTCCTCGACATCAGGAAGAATAGTGCACAACCTTTTATAATTTTTCCCAATCAATGAATAATTATTTGGGCAGACAGAAGAAAATGCGGCAGCAGTAGCACCCACTACAGCCGGTGAATTGTCAGTTAACAATGTTCCAACAATCTGCATTGAAGACCACAACAGATTGATCGTCAAGCAGCCATCAATACTTAACCATGTTAAGTAACCAGAGATTTTTGCATGACATAAAGCTATGTAATACGACAAGTCCCAGATTAATCAATACCTCTTCAATGGTGGAAGAGTGTTCCTGCAAACGCAAATCATGCAATTTTGGAAGAGCACTGGCTGCACATTTTCTAACATACACAGAGGGATCTCTAGCGCACTTCCCGACAGCAACCAGAACAAGAGGAGCGATGGCATGTAAACGAATTCCAGCCATAGTACGGAGAGCCCATGCCCTTACTAATGGATTTGTATCCCCCAAGTCTTTCTGGAATGAATTTATCGACAGTAATGCTTCATTGGGACGCCTGCAAAATGAAATGATACAAACCAAAGGATCAACGCATAAATCAACCTCAGTTGCCCGAACAGCAGTTGGGATGAACTTGATAACCCAATTTTAAGTAATAACTAATAACCCTTGCTTTCAGTTAACAACAGGAAACCAACAACAAGCATGTTCTGTATCTATCTCCTGGACATACTTTTGAGCATAATGGAGGAGATACAAGTAAACCAGCTTCTTCACTTCCAACGAATGAGATGCCACGTTTTTAACCACCTGCAATTCCCTTGATTAAATGGAGAAGGGAAAACGGGACATAAGTACTGTAACCTCTGATGCCAAAGAAACCAAATTGAATATGCCATTTGTGAACTGCTTCACACTCAACACACTTGGTTTTGAATAGAAAGCGAAACAGCTACAAGCTGCCATAATCCAGTTCTACATTACCGATTGGCGGAATCTCGGCAGCCATCACCATGAAGGTTCTACTCAATTTCAGTAATTCAATGCGGCAAGTAAATGGTTGCGAACCTGGGGGAAGAAATTGGAAACGTCGAATCCCTGAGCAATGAGAGCCAGCAGGCGCTTGAGAGCTTCGCATTTCTCAGAGTCAAACTTGCTGTCAAGCAATGGCGCAATGTTAACGTCTTCAGGATCATCGTAGAGGTGCGCGTCCGTCCCGATCCGGAACATGATCGTCGACGCCTTGCTCAGCGTATCAGCCGTTGCTCCGAATTGCGGGAACATTCTGCGGCCCTGCTTTCTACTATTCTGGTTAACCTCTGCTGGCTATGGCGAATTGGCGATTCTTCCTCTTCCCTTCCTTTTTCTGATTCGGACACTGAACAGAGCGATGGTAGACTGGAGGTTGAAGAAGGTGAGGCTCAAATCTCAATTGACGAGAAGAGAAATTAGTTATGCACGAGAATAAGATTGAAGATTGTTAGTTGGATTGGGCCTAGATGTCTGATAAGGAAGCCCATTTAAACAAGCTCGTATGGTTTAATATTTGACATTAGGAGGCCCATGAAGGCCCACAACACCAGCTCCACCTTAGGGCCGTTAGTTATTCAAAGTTGTATTTTTTTTATATATACTAGTCACGGGCCCGGCCAGTTGGCCGGATTAAGTTGTCATGTCACGCACACAAATAACAGTAGCAATTTATATTAGAGTTTTTTATTAGTTTAAGAAAATCAATGTTCATCCAATGCACTAAACATTCAAAATATGAACATTGTACTGTTTTCCGGCATAGTAATGACTATTCGACAAAAATTATTTTACGAAAATAAAAGAAAATCTCAATGTAAGGAAACTTACTCCTAAATATCAATTAAAATGACCCTTCTAATTACGCCTCATTGTTAGAGATGACTACATATTTTATTTTTTGACTTGTTTGCATTTCCTCCTGCATGAGCAACAACTTCATCGTCACCATTGATAATGTCTTCAAATGATTTCAATATGGATATGTACGGTAAAAATCTAACCTGATTTGGAGTTCATTGCCAGTGTTATAGATGTAGAGTTGAGCAAATTTTGGTTTGTTTCTTTTCAGTATGTATCAGGCTGCCGATTCGATGATATACTTAACCTCCAATTGAATAGACATATACTCCATGTCCATCATTTATAGATCGATCCAGTTTACTTCCAATAGAAGTTAATGCGAAGACCCCGTCATATCCTCGAATATGTTCCAAAAAGTGACGTCCGGTTGAAGTTTTTTCTTGCAATAGCATATTCAAAACCTCTGCATGCTATCTTTGAGGAGAGAACTTCACATAACACATAATTTGATAACATATAAATCGAAAACAACCATGACATAAATGGATTGCCAATAGGAATGCTGACAATTTTTTCATGTATACGCTTTTGCCTTATACAAAGAGTATGTTTCCTTCTTGCTAATTTGGTTAGTGGTTGATTAATTTTCTTCAACTCTGACCTATGTGCATCAATTTTCTTCAACTCTGACCTATGTGCATCAATTTCTGAAATGTTAAATGGAGAATAATAGTTTTGTAAGATCAAGCATCATGGAGAGATTATAATACATTTATAATTCATCAATATTGATACCATCAGAAATCTTTTTTGCATGTCAAATAGAGACTGATTAGAATCGACCACACCTTCTGGTGGTATAAAACAACTCTTTTTCCCTGAACAACACGTGCAATGGACACACATTAAATTGTCAGATGAATATAATTATGCTAATAAAAATATTTGTACTTACATTCACTTTTAATGGTCAAAGTGAAGCATTATTTGTTTATTTGGAAGACTCTCCACGTGAAATATTTCTTCAATGCATAGAGCTAAAAAAAGTAGTCGCCAAAAATATTTAGACCAAATAATATGATCAAAATATTTGACGATGGCAGCCTTAAAACATGAACATGAGAACCCATTATAGTCCTCACAAATACTATATGGAGGTTCTTACCTTTAGTGCTAGCTTTTGCCTAGATACACTATTATCAGTACACCCTCTAAAGAGAAGCAGTTAAATCAACCAATACTTGAAATTGGTACCTCAACTTATTAATCCCATATTATTCCCACATGGCGAGAATGAATGACACCCAATATTTCATACTCTGTGGGTGAGGATGAGGATGTAGACGAATACAATGAGAAGAATGTGATCCAATGTGATTTTTACAGTTATAGACTCCTTCTTGCTAATTTTGTTCGTGGTTGATTAATTTTCTTCAACTCTGACCTGTGTGCATCAATTTCTGAAATGTAAAATGGAGAATAATAGTTGTGTAAGATCAAGCATCATGGAGAGATTATAATACATTTATAATTCATCAATATTCATACCATCAGGAAACTTTTTTGCACGTCGAATAGAGACTGATTAGAATCGACCACACTTTCTGGTGGTATAAAAACAACGCATTTTTTATGAACAACACGTGCAATGGACACACATTACATTGTCAGGTGAATATAATTATGCTAATAAAAATATTTGTACTTACATTCACTTTTTAACGGTCAAAGTAAAGCATTATTTGTTTATTTGGATGACTTTCCACGTGAAATGTTTCTTCAATGCATAGAACTAAAAATAGTAGTCGCCAAAAATATTTAGACCAAACAATATGATCAAAATATTTGACGATGGAAGCCTTAAATCATGAACATGAGAACCCATTATAGTCCTCATAAATACTATGTGGAGGTTCTTACCTTTAGTGCTAGCTTTTGCCTGGATACACTACTACCGGTACACCCTCTAAAGAGAAGCAGTTAAAGCAAACAATACTTGAAATTTGTACCTCAACTTGTTATTCCCATATTATTCCCATATGGCGAGGATGAATGACACCCAATATTCTATACTCTCGGGGTGAGGATGAGGATGTAGATGAATACAATGAAAAGAATGTGATCCAATTTGATTTTTACAGTTATAGACTCCAAGCCAGACTGGAAGAACCGAGCACATTGCTATTGTGTGGAAAGTTGCTAACACCAATATTTTGATAATAACTCAAAAAATAGTAGGTTACTTGCTAACACCAATATTTTGATAATAACTCAAAAGTCACTCGTAATGGCTCTAACATGTATACATGAGTAAAATAATTATAGAATGCTTCCGCATCCCTTTTGGAACTGAAAAAACTAAAAGCCAAGCAGCTTGAAATAAGTAGTGAAGTTCTTGAGGACCATATAAATTGAAGTCTTTTTCGATCTCTAAGGCCCATATAAATTAAAAAATTGACCTAAGGAACCCTCGGTTACAAATTGAAGCTTTTGTGCTCACTATGGCCCATTACCCATATTAGTATTAGTAGCAAGGATTGAAAATCGTATCAAAAGTTGTATCGAAAAAAGTGAGCGGTAAGAAATTTTATGCTGAAACCGTTCTTTAACCGTGATTCAGTTATTTCATATCGCTAAATCTATCTACTGGTTTCATTTTCGGTATGAAATTTTTCTAGTTGAACCACCCGTACGATATTGATTTTAGTTCTTGATTAGTACATCTTTGTTGAGTACAGATATATAAAAGTTGTCCAAACTTTAAAATGGGTCTCATTTCATCCCATTCTCCCTAGCCCTTCTGCCCCTCCATCGATCCCTGGAGGCATTTTCCCTACAGTTAGGGCCGGAGACGAATTATTCCTCTCTCGGAGCCAGAGAATCGAAGCGTCCGGTGTTCCACACCCCACGCTTCAAAAAAATCAGAAAAAGGATAAATCATATCTGGAATGGCATCGATCGATGAGGAAATCCGGATCTGGATCGGGACATGACTATTAGTTTGCAAAAAAGAGGCTGTAGTGGTTTTGAGATCCAGAGAGTGCAGAGTCGGCGGCGGCCATTAGAGAAAGAGAATTTTTGCTGACTTGCTGTAGAAAAGCAACGAACAGCACAAAAAAATGGACCGAGCGGTGTTGGTTGTGGTGGAGCTATTAATTTGCATTTTTAATAGTGCAACTGGTGGGTATATATACTTCAGAGGAAACAAAAACATTGAACTTATTATTTCAGGGACATTGGCCATTGGGCCTGACCCATTTATGGAATTGAACCCTTTATCTACCACAACACCTCACACTGCACAGAACTCCCAGCCCAGTATTGCGCGCAAACTAACTTCTTATTAACTAAATAAAATGACCTAAGGGCCCCTCCTTGCTATGCGCAGGAGGCAGGAAAATTAAAGCTAATGGGGTTTGAGGGGAGAACCTCCATATAGTAGTTTTAGGATATTTATAATTTATAGGTAGTTTGGAAGATGCGATTGTTTTGGTGATGTTGTTACTTGTTACTATACATGTATTGTTTAGAATGCATCTTATTTTAGATTTTTTAGCATAAATAATACATGGATTTTTTCTATGATGTGACAGAAACTATCACTCAAAATGAGTGATCGTTATATTTAAGCTTTTATCTGTGATTGTTGAGATTATTAAGGTTGGAAATTTTGACTTCACCCGATTTACCCCCACCTGTTTGACCTGTTTTAGGGCGGTCGGACCCGCCTTGTAGGCGGGCCGGGCATGGGTATTCTCATCGACCCGACATGCTATGAAACGCCCAATTCTCGACCCGTACGTGCCTAAATTACATGTAATCTTAGTCAAATTACTTATAATTTTTCTTATATTACATCATATTTTAGCTGTTATAAAGTTTTGAATTAGTGAAAACTTCAATTTCTCGAACCGTTCGCCCCAATTCTATCATATTATTAGTAATATTGACTTGGAAGAGACTCACGAAGGTCAATATTTCAATATTTTAATATTTTAACTAAGGAAAGAGTTACAAAATTATTAACGAAAACTTAAAAATGGCTAATATTTTGATGCATTATGAAATATTTGAATAATTAATAGAATTTTAATAAATTTAAATAATATAATAGAATTTCAAAAAGATTTGGATAAAAAATAGATATTATATTTTATAGAATATTTTGTAGTTTTTGATAAATGGGCTTTTAAATGGAGCCCATAAATCCTATCCAAAATTACAAAACGAAACCTTATTCAACCGGCCCAAACTTCTGCAGATTTAAACTCTATACGAGACAGTCTCCTTTTTTTTCGTCCGGCCGGGATTAGGGTTTCCTCAGTGCTACTGCTACTACTTCTCTCCGCGTTTGTTATTTAAATCCGGCAAGCAGTTTCTTAGGCATTGATTGTCTGATTGAAAAGAGAGAGGCTTGAGGGGGATCTTCCGTTTCAAACGAGAGGGAAAATCTCATTTAGTTTAAGGCTGGAACTCGGAGATGGCAAACCGAGCAGTATGCGCCGCCGCTCTTTCTGTCAAAAGAATGAAGCTTTTGGTGTCTCTTCCTTGACACCTTCCTTCTCTTTTGCAGTTCGTTATCCCTTCAATTTGATCAGGGATATAATTTTTCCTCGCCCGCTGTGAAGGTCCTTTAATCTATACACTTGATATGAGCT